ATGCTGCGTAATTTTTTCTCAAGTTTATCCCATCTTATCTCATCTTCCAACGAATAACTGATTCAGTTCAATAGAAATAATCACGAATAATTGAAGGATTGCAATAAATTAAATTTTAATTAAGCCCAAAAAATGCAATCGATACTGTCATATATTCCAGAAATTAATAAGTACAATGAGTTGAAGATCGAAAAACGTTTTGAATAATAAAATTGAAAATTATGTGTCGCATACTTTAAAAAAAACCAATACGCAAAAAGTACAAATTGCGGAAATCCTCACGGAAAGTTTTCCCGAGAAGTTACATGATATAAGCAAGCATTTCAGTTTTTTTGTTTAATTGACTCAAATTTAAATTAATCATTGGTTTTGAACGAAAAGAATCTATGAACGATTCAAATAAGGCATGTGCAAAAGTACAGGATGAAATCTATACTATTTATTTACGGTAAGGTTATAGATAACTTGTAAGATAGCTTGAAAAATACCGAGTAAATAAAATTCTCATGGAATTTACAAAAGTCTAAAGATTAATTTCATTAAAGATACCGAGAAGAATATGCGGTTCAAAAGATTTCCTGAATTCTTCTTTGTTTTTGTAAATAATTTAGAGTAAATAATGTGAATTAATTTCATTTGACAAAATTATTTCATAATTTCTCAACTAATCATTAAAGATTTACATTCCAGAGAATATCTTTGAAATGAAGAGAAGCATATGAAATGCCTTCGGGAATTTCTATATTTCAAGATTTTTTCAAGTACTGCATATTTCAATTTAAATTTTATGCAACTACTATAAAACTTTAGATATCATTTGTCTTTTACTGCATTATTACTTATCATTTTAGCTATTGTTTCAGTTATTTTAACTTAACATCTCAGCTACTTTAATTGTCATTTCAGCTGTAAAATTATTGTTTTAGGACATTTCAACTATCTTTCTATTTTTCATATTCAAAGTAAAGTATGGCTGCATGGCTGTAAATACAAGAATAAATATCATTGAATTATACAGATAAATAAGTTTGGGACAAAAATTTGCTGCTAATAAACAAAAAGACAAATAAATAAATAATAAATATGTTAGCAAATAAAGCTTTAACATTGTTAAATAATATCATTTAATCTGATCAAATCTTGCTAAGTAAATTTGAAAAGATTTAAATTTGCTGAATTTTTTTTGCACCTCTTGTAAACAAACAAATTTAAATTTTATATAAATGCTATTAAATTTCAAAAATACGCGTTTCATTGGTTATTAATATCATTACCGTTGCATTTTTTTTTCCGGCTTTCTGGCTGTATTATTTTGAATTGGCATAGGTTTTAAATAGAAATAAACTCAGAAAAACAAGCACTAAGTAGAAATAGAAGTAGTCGAAAAAAAAGCATACAATTGATAGAAAGAGAAGTAATCCAAAAAATGAATGCAAAAGAAATTTGCGAGAAAATGTGCCACAAGTAAATATATAAACAATATGTATCATGCAAATAAAAGCAAAAACTGCTGATTGTATTAAAATCAAATTTTTAGAAGCTGAAAATATTAAAAGCTTTGAAAATTTCAAAAAGCCAAAAATTCAAGCAGCTTGAAAATTTTAAAAGAGTTCAAGAAAAATCTAAAAATGCAATAATACAAAAACGATTAAACCCAGAAAATTCGAAAATTCAGATAATTTAAAATTAGTTTGGAAAAACCAAAGATGGAATTCAAGTTTCGAAAAAATTCAAAGAAATTGAAGAAAGAAAACAATAATTCTAAAAAGGACTACAAAAAAAGTTCAGAAATTTACTTGATCCAGAAAAAGACTACGCCACCGATAAATTTAACAAGGATCTGAAAAATCTTGAAAAATTTAGAAACTCAAAAAAAACTCTGATAATATCAAAAATTCAAGGTAAATCAATCATTCAAGCGACAGTATAAAAGTTGTTCAATTTCCTGTGTCTTGTCAGACAATGCAGAAATATGATCTATTTCCTATAGTTTATTAAACAATGTAAAAGTAAGACCTATCACCTACTTATAGTCCAGTAAGAAAACTTCTTTCATTTTTAATTACTTACAAATATTTTTGATGACACCCAAAATTGTCCCACTATAATGTTGAATTCAATACCTTATATAACCTAGTCCACTGAAAGTTATGTAGGAGAGTAATACAGTATCTGCTATACAGTTAAAGTTCTGTCTCAAATATGGCATTTATTATAGTGCTGTGATTATGATTTGACAAGTGATAAATGATTATTATGATAGTAATTTTCATGATTATATCAGGTTTAACGATTATAGATAATCCATTTCTTTCCTAATTTTGATTACATTATTCAAAAACACATACAAAAATACATATAAATGAAGAGAACAATAAAGCACAAAAAAGAACTGATAGATTAGACCACAAGAATGTTATAAGTTATTAGGAAAGAGAAAATAAGTTGAGTTTAAGTTGAAGTCATCATTAAAATAAGTTATCATTAAAAATAAGAACATGTAGGCGCATGCAGTAGATAAAGTAATGCAGTAGTTTGAAGCGGATAATAAACAACAAAGAGAAAAAAAATAGGAAATAGTGGAACAAAAATTAGTTTACTGATAATGACTTTCATCCGGTATTGATAAGAAATGAAGGAAATGACATTAGAGATGCTATTTTGTTTGTTTTGTATTTAAATTTATTTAAGTAATATTTAAATAATATAAAAGACCTGAAAAATGAAACAACCGAACCAGAAAATCAAAAAAATAATAAAATGATAAAAAATCAATAAATTTGACATGTTGTTCTTGTTTCCGGAAAACCTTAACAACAATGAACAACACAAAAAGAAAAGACAAAGCAAAAGATGCAACTTTATAACAATTAAACCAATCGCCAAATAATAAAACCTGTTTTTTTCAAATGGAAATTTTAAGGTAGAATAGGAAAATAGGAATATGAAGAAAATATTTTGAATTCTAAAAAGTGATAACTACAAATCCTAAAATTGTATGTTCTGAGCAGAAATTGTTCTTCTGTTGCCAAAGAATGATAATTTGATTAGAAAAGAAGTGAAAAAATAAAATAAAATAAAAAGGTTCCAAATGCAATAAATAAAAGCATATAAAAGAGACAGAAAAGCTGTTTGTTATGAAATAAAACTAAATAATACTTTCACCTTTTCTAAAAAACCAAATACATTTTCAATAATTATTATTGTGGCATAAATACATGAAATAAATCATAAAATGTTTTAAAGCAAGTTTTTAAATTTGAGAATAACACTATGAGGTCATGAAATTATGATAAATAATTGTCAATAATTACCCAATAAATAGATAAACAATAATCAATAAATAATAAATAATCAAAACAATAAGTACAAACACTAATATACAGTTCGATTTTTTTTCTTTTTTTTGCTTTTTTATTTTTTTGCCTTTCTGTTTTCTTCATTTTTTTATTTTTTTTAAAAGCATATTTCAATATGTTAGTCAACAAATCAAACATGGAAAAACAAAGTCACTCAGTTAGAAGTAAAAATCACAAGCGAAATGAAGTCTAAAGAGCCCAATTCCAAACCATTACTTCTATGATCAAATTATGTAAATCACGATTTTCTTAAAATTATCAGGCAGCTGGAAACTCAATTCAGAAAAATCTCATTAAAAAATAAACAGAGGGTCGAAATTTTCGTTATGGTTTTCCAAAAATGATGACCGAATGAGAAAAATGGATTTAAAAATTAGAAACCAATTCAAACATTCAATAATGAGCAATCAATAACAACAAATAACAAAGAATTAGTGAAAAAAAAAATCCAAAAAATCAGATTCACTAGTAGATAAGTAAATCATGTTATCTGCATAAAGAATGAGAAATGTGAGCGAAAGTTTGATAAAGATGGCTTCTGAATGGATTCATTTGCAGCCTAGGTAGAAGTCGCATTATTGCTGTGCATCTGGAAAAAAAGACAAAGATTGATTGAAATAATAATTAAGACAATAATTTCTTGTGTTTGCATCGATCTCACTAACCAGTAATGAAGTAGTGCTGAGTCTTTTCCTTTCTAAACACTATCTCAAGTCTTCATCGTTTAATAGCTCTATCATTCATGACAGTCCTTGTAGCTTTGAGGCACCATTCCAAAGGATGGAACTTCATCGTGGCTGTAATTTTCTCATCAGAACCTATCAATGATATTTCTGGCAGAAGCCTGAAAGCAGATGTATTAATCAACAAATTAATCTCTTAAAAATTACTTTTGCCCACAACAGCAGTAAGTTCAAAGATTGTCTAAGCTGGGGTGGATTTGCCATCCTTTCAAGGTTACAAATTCCTTTGGACACATATCAAACTCTGAAAATATAACAAATTTGTAATAGATTTGTTCAAATCATTCATGCAAACATTTTCACAGTACTGATGAAATAAAATTAAATTTACCAATTGCCGTTGATTCATCAGCGTTTCGAATTATTACGTATGGGCTTCAGTATTTGTTGAAACTGTGCTGATAAACCTTCCAGTACAGGTACGTGCAAGGCTTCCAGCGCTACTGGTGGTAGTACCACTTTTTCTACAATTGGAATTCGTATCATTCGAGAACGCCTGAAACATATGCATAACTAGACATAATTCTTCCAGTGTTGATTTTCCGGCATCTAAAGAATGATTCTGTGCTTATCACATGAACTAATTAATTATTAGATTCATAATCACAAATATTATCCTTTAGAAGGGAAGATAAGTTAGTTCTTTATACATTTCATCTGTACATACTGATACTTTTGTCAATTTGATTTATTCTGAATAACTTAAGCATCTCTTTGATCTGCTCTCTTTGTAGTTTGTTATGGTTTTTTGCTCATTTTATTTTTGTGCATTACATTAATTACAGATTTATTATGTGATAGCATATTATTGGGTTAAATTATTGGACCGATATATCTATCAAAGAAGAATATTTCGGGAACAGAGTAATAATGCCATATTACAGGTTTATTTTTAGTTTTTGTAAGCAATACCACTTAATCAGATCAAATTTTGCAAAATAGATTGGGAAAAGCTTAATTACACTAATTACATTTAATTAATCAAATTTAATAAATTTCTTTTATATCGTTTGGAAATGTCTTTTCACAATTGTCTTCTAGTACATTATAATATTATAATTTATTTCTAATCAATATTGATGCTTTAATTCTAAAAATTTTTTCTTTTCTCTTTTGTTTCACTGATTATTAATATCGTTATCGTCGCCAAGTTTGTGCAGACAAACTATCTTTTTATCCTTTTGTCGTCTCTCTCTTTAAATTGGCACGGCTTCCAGTTGATTCGATTTTTTGGGGTACAAGAGAATGTTTCAAACGTCAATTTTGATATTACAAAGTCTCAACGTACGTGTTACATTGACACCACTCTATTGGATTTCGTTTGGTTGCGTAAATCTGTAAGGACTGACAGATTTTATCGAAATCTCAAATTTTGTTCCGTACCAACAAACCGCCGCTGTACTTTTCTTATGTTTTTTCAGGCTTAACACGTGAATGTCAAACGTTAATGCTCAAACATTAATTGTAGATAGGTTATTTACATAAGAATGTAGACGCTGATCGCATTTCAAGCCGACCAAAACAGGTTCTCTTTGATTACCTTCGTGACGTACGTTTATTAAACTTTTACTTTTTCTATTTCTTTTTTTTTCTTTTTTTGAAAAATGCAAATTAGTTTATCCGATTCATTCCATATTCATTATCGTAAAAGAATGACAAAAATTTATTTCATCCTTTTGTCACAGTTTTTATATAACAATTTCTAGAAACAAAATACATTCTAACTGATCATATCTTTGATATAAATTTGGTTAAAATGTTAAAAAATATTTGGAGATTTGAAGATAAAATAAATGATAGTGATATCATTAGTGATAAGAACTGTTACTTTAATTACACTTATTAGACAAACTGAACAGTGAAAAGTGAAATATTTGAATGAATCTTACATTGGTAGTCATTATTCATATATTTTTCTAGATATTAAAAGTGGCGATAGGAATACTTTTCTGGAATGATTCGTTATGATGCTGAAATAGCTTCATGAAAAGAATTTCTACTCAATTCAATTCAACACTGAAATTTTTTTCAAAGGGATTTCAGCTTAAATTAAGCCAAAACAAAATAACTGAAATTCATAAAATGCCTATCGAATGTCTTTTGAAGTTACTGTTTTTTTTTTTTTTCATGTTTCTACCTTTTGTGCTCTTTAATATAATATGAAACGTACGTTAACTCTTTAATTCCATCGATATTTAGGATGTAAGATGTGGACTGGATATTACTGGTACACATTGTTTGAATTTCCCAAAAACCCTGCAAGTTTTTGCATCCGTGCAATCCATATCATCCTGACATCTTAGTCTTTCATTGAACGAGAGACAATATCGGAAGTTCTACAACATTGTCACTTCGTGTTGTTAGCAAAATAAATGAATAGAATTAGAAATTAACCTGAATTTTAAAATGTTTCCAATTTCTTAATCCTAATATTAATTCAGGAATAATTACAATTGATTGATTTAGGAAGTTTTGATGTAAAAAATAATGTGGGATGTACTTGCTGAAAGGCGACATCGTTACTGATATTGATGCAACGTTGACCACCCGAGCATTCATAATCGTAATTGCATGGTTGCATAAATGTCGTCTGCTTTGCAGCACTGCACAAATAAAGATTCTCTAAAACTTTCTCGCAGCGCTGAAAATTTTGCAATGAAATTAAATCAGATAATTCAGATTAAATTGTTTGGCAGGTTGAGTCATCAATAGATATGTTAAAATTGTCTATTAAAGATGAGTAGATTTCATAACTTTACTTCAAAAACTAAAGTTTGGTAATTTTTGAGTTCGATTACTTATGGCATTTAATAACTTTTATATACTTGAAGTAAATGTATATTCAATTTGTCAGATTTGTTGTTTTTAAAATTTTGTTTAATTTTGTATTTTCGTAATTGGAAAGATTAGGTTTATTATAAACACCACATGATGATAATTTAGATATTAAGAAATAAAACATAGAGGGAAGATGGGTAATTACTTCATGCTTGAATATAAATATGGTGGAAAAACCTGTCCAGGCTGGCAGTCAGCATTGAAACGACATTGTCGATTGCTTGTTGTTGGGTTGTAAATACAAATACGCTTACCTGGAAAATTTCTTTCCGCACAGATTTCGAAAACGGTGCACTGAAATTTCAAAAATAGTGATGGTGGTTTGTTTGAGAATAGTTTCAGGGATGTTAAATTGCATGACTTCTAAATTCTTGTTTTTAAAAATTGTATTGTTAATCAGGTGACAGTTCGACAATTCGGATATTTACCTCTTTATAGTTTAAAGAATCATTCATCAGATAACATTATTACGAGGAAAAAATTATTACCTGATAATCAGCAGTGCATTGTTTTTCAAAACCCTTTGGGATAGCACCATTATCTATCAAACTCCGTGAAATCACACCACTCCCAACGTTATTACTCCAAAATGGAACTGTCGTAACGGTTCCTAAAAACACAAATTCTATCTTTGAATAAAAAAAAAAAATTTTGCAACAAATTTTGGTTTAGGCTAAATTTTAGTATTCAAATATTGAAATACTTTACCAAATTACAAAATATGTGATAGAACTATGCATAAATTGCAATTTTAAAGCCTTTTTTTTAAAAAAACTTACGATATTCAGGTGATGCAAAGCATAAATTAGTATTATACTGTTTACTGAATGAACACGTCTGTAATATACCGCAATCCGCGTCGCTTCGACATGTTGTGTATGGTAGCATTCCGGGAATAATCTGAAGAAAGTTTAGTTTCCTGAAATCCATTTTATAAATTATTGATTAACTAACCATATCACATGATAAATAGGATAAATTTAGACTAACTTGACAAGTCATCATGCCATTTCTATTGATACAATGCAAGTACTGAGCACAATCAGCTTCGTTGTAACATTGATCATTTACTGAACCAGGAACTAAACAGCATACTTTAAAAACGTCATGAATTCACAAATTTCCAGGACTAATACCTCTCTAAAGATATTCAACATTCGTTTCAACAATTTTTTAGCGATTCGAAAGTAAGCTATATTATCGAAGTATATGAATCGTCGGATAATTTTCGCGGAATATTTACTCTCGAAAATTCTGCTTATTTGGTACTGACAATAATTAATCGATACTTTGAGATTAGTTTCATTGATATCTCTCTATTTTCTATCTAACTTACTCTTCCATTCAAGAGATTTATACTGACAGGATATAGGCCAACCAGTACATTTACCAAATACATCATTACATTGTGGATCATTTTGACATATAATTTGTTTTGGCTGCAAATCTTAAACAATGAAAAATGATAAATATTTCGACAAAAAAGGTTTTCTCACAAATAATAATTGAAATTTAATTGATAATTAACATAATGATAGAGTAATTATTGAGCGCTTTATGGATTACTTATACTAGAAAAATATCCTATACCGTTAATGCAGTAGACATTTGCTCTGGAATTTGTTGACAGCGCAATAGTCCACCTAAATCCGGAATACATTGTTTTCCCGGATCACATTGTGTATCACCAATACAGTATTCGCCAAATGTTGTCATACCAGATTGTAAAAATATGTTAAAAAATGAAGCCAATAATATCAAAGCAAAAAACATTCTGTTATTTGCAATCCCCATAATAGCTGAAGATTAAAAATAATATTAAATTCTGTATCACTTATTTATTGTTTATTTCTTCGTTTGGAGTAACATACCTGTTATTCTAACAAGTATGTTATCTAATCAAGGTATAGGCGACATTTTTAAAACCAAAATTATCCAATAAAATGAAATGAATGAAATGAGGGATGGGAATATTGTTTAAAAAAAACAAACTAAAAAATGGGATTTTGAAATGAAATTGTAAGGTAAACATTTGAGGAAGAAATGTGTAATTTGGTCAGATATCAACTTAAATACTTTTTTTTCCAATCCATAAAGGTGTAAATAGCTTAAGCCATCAATGCCACATAAAAATGTTTATTGATGCGTTGAAAAACTTCCGTCTCTCAAATTTTGTTTGCATAATAATTGTATTGAAGAAATTTTCATCTACAAATCCAGTTCTCCTCACATTTAATACTCAGATGATTCATCCATTTCTTCATGGTTGAGCAGATGTCAAATTTTGTGGATACCAATTAGTGAAGTATTAATTTTTTAAAATTTAAAAAGTTTGCTACAAGTTTTTTTGAGAAGATCCTTCATTGGTGTATCTTGATTCTGTTAATTTCAAATCCAATTCTTGGCTTCAAGTCCATAGAATTGCAATATATTATTTCATGCTTGTTAAAGTGGTTTTTGAAATATTTTACCCATGTTCTGATAATGGGAAATTAATAATATTTGGTCTATTTCCGCTTTTTATTACTTACTCAATTGCTTCCTCTTTAAAAGAATCGAAAATTTCGTAAGCGAATACTTCAAAAGGTAATTGGAAAATAGCAAGTTTCAGGTTTTGATTTTTCAGAAAAATATTTTCAAAAGCCGCTTTTATGATTGTATAGCAGTCAAAGCATTGCTAACATAAGCAGTTTTTGGACACTTTTATACAGAGCAAATATTAGATCTATTCTATATCTTTCTCTTCATTTATTAATGACATAGCAATTGGTAAATGTCAGAAGACCAATGCCATAAATTGAATGCAATTAATTAAAGGGAAGTGATTTAAATTGATTCATTCACTCTAATTAATATAAACTAAAAAAGTAATTGAAATTTAATGTATGAAATAACAAAGTGGTGGTGTTTAGCTAAGCAGTCATTGAAATTAAAAAATATATGTATAAAATGTATCATAATTTAGACAAATACAATAATTAGTTTATCAAAAGGAATTAATTATTCGTGTTTAGGTTTGGGCGTTGAATTAGCATAATTGCTAATCAATAACTTTTAACCAGTGAATTAAGGATAAACTAATATATTTAAATATTATTGTGTTTGAGTAGGTTTTATCAAATTCAGGTTTCCTTGTCATTTATTAGACATTTGATAATTTAGGAGAAAATGTTTTGAATCGAATTATGTATGAAAAATATTAACTTTTCAGATGAAATGAATAATTAATTTGCGCATTATGCATTTATCAGCTCAGTGCAGAATTTTTTTGGCAATTTGCGCTGCAAACAGCAAATTTTAGTAAAACGATCTTTTTCCTATGTCATTTCGAAATTATGTTAGATGAAAATTGAGATTTTATTTTGAAATAGTAAAGTAAACAAGAGGAACATGAAAACTGGAATGAACAATGGATGATTGAAATCATTCCATCGGTTCAAAGATGCTAACCATTGATCGTCTTTATGAGTAATTGGATAGAATATGTTGTAGCACTAATGCATCACAAAGCATTTCAAGTATTTCCATAAATTTGAAACGATTAATAAAACCTTTATCAAAAATATTCGTCTGTGCCATACGACACAAGAAGAACTTCATTATTACCAAGAAAACAAATAACTTTTGCAACAGTAACAGCAAGTTATGATCAGAAATTGCCATCAAAGATTCTGATACTCAGTGTGTTTGAAAATACAGATTTTCAGAGGAAGATTGAATGATATGTTTCTAATGATAAGTCTAAAAGACTGGGAAGCGCATTTGTACTTTGAATAGCACTTCTCGAATTGCAGTCTTTGGAATCAGAAAGCTTTGAAATTTGTGACAAAACTGATTGATTTTGAAATTCAGGTGAAAGTCAGTTGAAGTTTGAAATCAAAACTGAAGCAAATCGTCGCAACTATTCTTCATATTCCTTTTTTTCTCAAATGGTTCACGGCATGGAAACGACAAAATGCAATAAGAATTCTGATTCATTCTTCCGGTGCTCTTAGATCAAAAATTTTATCGTCTGTTTCAATATTAACTGTATTTTTTATGGTTTAGCTAACAGTGGATAGTGAAATCAAGCAAGAATCTTGGGAAAGTTCTTGAAAGAAGTAGTAACTGCAGTTTAAGAGAAAATGCATAAATCAAGAAATTAGTTGTCATTTAGATTTATTGTAAATATAGTTAGGAATAAAAATTAAACAAAGGATTGTCCATAAAATTGGCCTGCAAATAGAACAATCCTCGAATTTTTAACAATTGCAAAAAGTAATGGAAGATCAGCAATAAAATCGTAGGATGGATATCTACCCATGTCACCAACCTTAAGAAATACGGTAGGTAACCATTGCTTCTGTCTCTTCTTCATTTACCTATAAGCAAATAATTGAATTTCATCAGAAAGAAGATTACGTCAAATTTTTTCTTGTTAAAGAAAGTTCACGTAAACTTCAATAAATTTAACGTGCATAACTCGGTCAATAAAATCGGAGCTACACTAAACTTTACAAGCCCACTGAACTTAGTTGTTGGACTGAAAGCATCTATGATGTCAATTTTCTTCAGAGCTGAATTCAATCTCAGTTTTGTTTTCAGTTTAAATTTCGGTAAAATGATCTATAATTACGATAACTTTGACTTAATATCAAACTGAATTTAAAAAAAAGGAATCACAATAGAATTATCCATCGGAAGTTCCCTTTTTTATCTCCCACAAACTTCAGATGAAATAATTGAATGTATCATATCACTTACGGTAGCATGTTCTTTCTTTGCATCAAAAATATATTTGAGTAGATTTTCAGCTGTTAATTTTTGCAAAATATATGATAAGTTGAAGTATATTTGTGATAGTATAAAAAGCATTTCTATTTTATGTAAACTAGTTTGATAACCTTTGAAAGATTATCCTCGTAATACAGTACTTCATCGATTTTTATTATCATTAATATCTGAATAAAGAGAAATGACGATGATGAAGGAAGTGGATAATTACCGTACAAACACTTTAGGGTAAATAACAGAGAATCTAATTAACACATATATTTATCATTCAGAAATGTGAAATTCCATTTTCCAAATGCTTTTGAAATAAATTGCATTCACAATTAACACGCATAAAATCAGTGCTAATACTGTCCAATGTCATTATATTATTGATTTTTTTGTATGTCTTTTCGAAATTCAATTATTGATTTTTCTGGAAATAAATTTGCTATTTATAGTCATAGATTTAATAATTGTATTTATATCTGTCAACAGGAATCACATTGACTTCACCCTTTTCTCTTAATATCACTTTAGCTTTTCATCTTGATTATAGCTCAATAAGTTTATCTCATTTGAATGTATGCAATTTTTTATTGTAGTATAATCAAAGCATTGTTTGGAGTGCTATCCTTTGTACAAATTCCCTCTTGTATGTAAACACGATTCCTCATATCGATTCCCCAATCACGATTCCGATTCTCCAATTACGATTCCGACTCCCAAATCACGATTCCAATTCCCCATATCCATGATGTAACTTTCATTTCTTTTCCTTGCAATATCAATCAATAATTCAGCAAAATGTGATTGAACTTCTGATGAGGTTGCAGTTGAAAAATAAGATATATGCTTATGTTAATTTAAAAACAATCATTTTATCATTTTCGAAATATACAATTCCAATTATTATAGCCATCGAAACCTTAACTTTGGCGATAAACAAAATGTTAAGATAATTTATGCGATAGGATACGTCCCCAGTGGTTTTTAAGTAAGAAAGCAAAATCTTTAAATTTAAACATTTTTAATCTCTAATCACTTTTTCCAACTTTTTCCTACAATTATCGCTTCATGTTACCATCCATTGCGAGATAAGCCATAAAAAGTGCAGTTGACATTGACAGAGGAGATATGATGACTGACTGATTGTTTTTCGCTGCCTTTTGCAATAAACTTACTGTAAAGTTAAGCTGCGCATGATCCATCAATGAACTGCAAAAATTCGGCTAATGAAGTAAAGTAAGAAAGTTAAGTTTGGAATTGTGTCAAAGAAAGGTAATATTGTTGGATGACTAAACATTAACAATGATATGATATATTGATTGTTCCGAAAATATTATTCCTTAATAGTATTTTCATACATATATTTTTCCAAATACAATGATAATTTGAGCGTTCGTAATTAGAAGTAATACGGTAGTGATTGTTTTGGTTATTCATTATAAAATATCAATGAAATATTCAAAGGTATTAAAATTATCATGAGGGCACGAACATTCTTTGTGAATGTTATTGTAAGAATAAAAATGAACTCAGTGATTAAATAATTATTCAGAATTAATGATTTTAAAGTCTAAATCTATTTGCAAATAGATCATTCTGCAGATGACAATGGCTAACTTCATTGTAAGTTTCCAAATTAATCTAAACTATCGGAATAGGTCACAGATTATTCTATGCTATCATAAAATCAGATAAGTTTAATCCAAATATGGCTTAATTCAAAATGCTAAAATCTATTTTAGACCAAGCATACAAGAATTCATTGTGAATAGTGAAAACATGACAAGAGTGAATGATTCGGATGCAAAGAGTTCAAGTATGAGTCTGTTAAGAAACTGATCGATGATTATATTAAAGAGAAATGATCGATACATCCCGATGTAAGCATATATTGAGAATGCAGAATGTTAGTGGTAGAATATTAGATTCTATAGAAGAGCACTTGGTTAACAATG